TGTCATCTTCGTCGTGCATCTGCTCGTCGTTGTCGGAGGTCGCCTTCGTCGTCGCCTCTGTCGCCCTCGTCGTACGCGTTGTCGGCGGTGTCGTCGTCGCGGGCCAACCTAGTGCAGCGACAAATACTGAGCTATAGTTTCTTTCGCTATCTGCGCGCCCGCTCCGTTCCTGTCCTTGTCGTCATCGCGGTGCGGCGCTTCCATTCTAGAGCAATACAATACTTACCCTTCGTTTCTGCCCTCTGCGCTGCCACACGGTTCGTAGCGTAGTCTGGTACCTGGTACGCCTTCTTTTCTTTTCGGTATTACGTGGTCCATTAAATATCACACTGTTAGTTTGCCCTCCCAGCGTCGCCATGTGACGGGCAGAGGTAACAAGGCGATCTCGGAAATTGACGGGACAAGTTAGGAAATCCCCCCAAATCCAGAAATGCAGAGGACAAGTCTGGCAGCATTCTGTGGCAATCTCGGATTTTTTCCAGACAGTCGCGGAAACGCATCAAACCCAGAAATTTGAAAACTAAGCCCGGGAACGCGACATCCAAACCCAGCAGTTTTCTGGGGCAAAACAGGGAATTGCAAGCGAGTGCGGATTTGGGGAGTGGTGTGGGGGTGGTGGTTGGTAAAGGAAGAGTGGGTTGAGGGGGGAGGGAGGGCGGGGGGGGAGGGAGGAGGGAGGAGGGAGGAGGGAGGAGGGAGCAGGAGGAGGTGGAGGATGGAGGAGGGAGGGAGGGAGGTAGGAGGCAGGAGGGAGGAGGAGGATAAGGAAGGAAAAGCAGGAGGGAAGGGGAGGAGGGAGGAGGGAGGAGGAGGTTAGGAGGCGTGGGAGGACAAGCGAGGAGAAAGAGGAGGAGGAGGAGGAGGAGGAGGAGGAGGGGAGGAAAGGGGGGTGGGAAGATCGGAAGGAGGACGAGGAGGAGGAGGAGGGGGGGGGGCGGGCGAGCGGGCGGGCGGGCGGACGACCGGGCGGGCATGCGTGCGGGCGGGCGTGCAGACGGGCGGGCGGGCAGCCGCGCGGGCGGGCGGGCGCGCACTTCGGCGGGCAGGCGGGCACGCGAGCAGGCGCGCGCGCGCGGGCGGGCGGGCGGGCGGCCGCGCGGGCGGGCGGGCGTCATTGTCATTGTCGTCGTCGTCGTCGTCGTCGTCGCTGTCGTCGTCGTCGTCGTCGTCGTCGTCGTCGTCGTTGTCTTCGTCGTCGTCGACGTCGTCGTCGTCTTCGTTGTCCGCGTTGGAGCCACGTGTCGAGTAGAGGTTGGTGGTTTCCTCCGCGGCGTTGCCACGTCGAATGCAATGAAGTATTTTTTGTTCGATGCTCGGTTTTGCGACGTGGCGCGCAAAGTGATGTTTTAATTTGTTCGCCGGCCCGTCATTGCCCCGTTGCGAATGGAGTTGCGCTGTGTTTGTTCCCGCCCCGCGGCGTTGCCACGTAGCGAACATTCTGGAATCTTTGTTTTCGCCCCCCAGGCGTTGTCTCGTGGCGAGTAGAGTGGATGTTCAGGCCGCGCGGCAATGGGACGTGATGAGTTGAGTGGAGTTCAAGGCCTTGCTACGTGGCGTTGTCATGTGGCGAGCAGAGTGGAGCAGCATTACTTCCCGCCCCGCTTTGTCGCCACATGCCGAGTAGAGTGGAGTAGTGTTGTTTCGCCCCGCAGTCGCTGCCACGTGGCGAGTACAGTGGAGTAGTGCTGCCCCTCCGCCGAGCGTTGCCACGTGTCGAGGATAGTGGAGCAGTATCTGTTTCGAGCCCAGCGTTGCCACGTGGCGAGGAGAGTGAAATAGCACTTGTTCCGCCCGGCAGGCGTTGCCACGTGGCGACTTGTGGAGTGGAGTGTCGCTTCAATTTGGCAGTTGAAGTGGAATCGTATTGTTTTTCGTCCTGCAGGGGTTGCCACGTCGTGAGGGAAAGTGAAGTAGCATCTTTTTTCGCCCCCCCTCCCAGGCGTTTGTTAACCGGCGGGTGAAATCAGTTTCGATTTCCGCCCCGCAGGCGTTGCCGCGTGCCGAGTAAGGGGCCATGGAGGAGGGAGGAGGAGGGAGGGGCGAGGAGGGATGGGGTGTGTGGAGAAGGGAGGAGGCAGGAGGGAGGAGGGAGGGGGGAGGAGGAGGAGCAGAAGGAGGAGGAGTTGGAGGAGGAGGAGGAGGAGGAGGAGGGAGGAGGAGGAGGAGGAGGAGGAGGAGGAGGAGAAGGAGGAGGAGGAGGAGGAGGCGGAGGAGGAGGGAGGAGGGGGAGGAGGAGGGGGAGGAGGAGGAGGAGGAGGAGGAGGAGGAGGAGGAGGAGGAGGAGGAGGGGGAGGAGGAGAGGACGAGGAGGAGGAGGAGCAGCAGGAGGATGAGGAGGAGGAAGAGGAGGAAGAGGGGAGGGGAGGGGGAGGAGGAGGGGGAGGGGGCGGAGGAGGAGGAGGAGGAGGAGGAGGAGGAGGAGGAGGAGGAGGAGGAGGAGGAGGAGGAGGAGGAGGAGGAGGAAGAGGAGGGAGGAGGAGGAGGAGGAGGGAGGAGGAGGGGAGGAGGAGGGGGAGGAGGAGGAGGAGGAGGAGGAGGAGGAGGAGGGAGAGGAGGAGGAGGAGGAGGAGAGGAGGAGGAGGAGGAGGAGGGAGGACGAGGAGGAGGAGGAGGAGGGAGGAGCAGGATCAAGAGGAGGAGGAGGAGGAGCAGCAGGAGGATGAGGAGGAGGAGGAGGAGGAGGAGGAGGAGGAGGAGGAGGAGAAGGAGGAGGAGGAGGAGGAGGAGGAGGAGGAGGAGGAGGAGGAGGAGGGGAGGGAGGCGGGAGAGGTGGGAGGATCGGAAGGAGGACGGGGAGGACGGGAAGTTGCGAGGAGGAGAGGTGGAGGACGAACGAAAGGGGGGAGGAGGGGGGCGGAAGGAGGAATGGGAACGCAGTGCAGTGCAATGCATTGCATTGCGCGACTGCGCGGAATGGAACGGTTTGATGCCAGGGTTCAGGGTGTACATCCTAAGGGGGAAGTGGGGAGGACGAGCAGGAGGAGGATGTGATATAGAGCTTGTGTCACATGTGACAGCGCGCCACTCGCTGCCGTTTGACTTCTATGGGCCCCTTTTGTCATTGCGCTAAAACGTATCATAATCACACAGGCAGCGGAGCTGCACCACGATCCCCGTATCGTGCCACTGCGCGCTCGTCTCTCCAGAGAAAGCGATCGCCTTCACTTGCTGAGCAGATTCCCTAACTAGGGGACTGTGTCTTGCCTTGCCTTGCCGCCATGGCGCTGTCTTCTCTTCGCTACCAGTCGAACGCCGACGCGTTGACACGATCAGAGACGAAGAGTAGCTCTTACATCTACGATGGCACGGTGAACAACTTCCACGAATGGGAATTCCGCACGGAGATGCGCATGAGTGCCGCTTTGGCCTCAGTGGACTCCGGGACGGGGGAACCCCAACAGCATATTGTCACCTCACTTGTCAACAAGATTGTGGAGGGCCTCAGGGGCGACGCGTTCGATATTGCCATGGATATCGGTAAAGGCGCGCGTCTGACACCGAAGGGAATCGATCAGGTTATGCTGGCGATTCGTACTTCACTCTTCCCCATAGAGGCTCAGGAAGCCAATATCCTGTTCCAACTGGGGCAAAGATCGTATGGACCACTGCCCCGACAGGGCGGTGATCCGATGGTCTCGTGCATGTTCCGCAGGAAGCGTTGGTGGAAACTTGTCTCCAAACTCGACCCTACGCTTGTGATGGGTGGCGACGTGCTTGGATCCCGTCTCTTGGGCCACGCAGGCCTTTCACCTTCGGAGAACCTGATGGTGTTGACATCGACAGGGGATGTGACAACCCTCGACAAGTCCAATGACGTCTTGATCCTCCAGCACGGCCGCGTTCACATCCGCCAAAAAGAGCTAGGTTGAGTCTTGCAAAAGGTTCCCCCCGGGGCGTGGACACAACACAGGCCCAGCTGCCCCAACAGGAGCAAAGGCAAAGGCAAGGCGCGCCACTCTAGGCCGCCGTGCGCCTTCCACGCTGCAGACGTCGGCTGGTACGGGCAGGAGGGGCACTACTCTCAGGAGTTGAGTGTCTACGGATACTACGCGTCCGTCTTTGCACCAAAGCGCGGCTGGGACGACAGCCTGTGACGACTACGCCGAGGAGCACGCCTGGGGCGACGAGGAATCGCGCGCTCACTGGGCTCCCGTCCAGGGGGATGGCGAGCTCGACGTCGAGGTGGTTGACGACATGGTCAAGGCTGGGTACAGTGAGGAAGAACCTGCCGATGTGATCCAGGAGGACCTGGTGGCCAACTTTGGCACCGAGTGCAGGAGCAAGGGCAAAGGACAGAGCGGAGGCAAGGGCTACAACCACACACCTTGATCATCCAAGGGCGGCGGCAAGTTAACGCCGAGACTGGAAGATCGTAACAAGCGGCTAGAAACGCTCAAATTCAAAACTTGCAACGAAGAAAGCCGCTTGTCTGGGGACCCTGAGTGCAAGGGCGAAACCAGGACGGCAATGGTAGCGCTTACTGGAGAACGACAGATTCAGTTGCGCGAGGACCAGGACGAACAGGAGTTCGCATCTCGCGGGGCCGTAACTAGACCATCATCCATTCGTCATCATGTTCCAGAGAACAAAGAGGAGACGATGTTTGTTGGCCCCGGTGTTTCTCGCTTCTGTTCTTCTTTCGCATCTCGTGTCCTGTGTCGTGGATCGTGCTCGTCTGAGGAGGAGAACTGTGATGGTCAGTGTAGTTTGCAGAACGGACGCGTGCATAATCATGCGGTGAGGATGCTGATGACTATGGTGCTGATGATGCCGATTATGCTGGTGCTGATGGGGAGGACGCAGCTTATAATGATGCTGGTGCTGATGGTGATGCTGTTGTTCATGATGATGATGAGGATGCCGAGGATGTTGATGCTGATGGTGCTGAATATGTGGGGGAGGAGGAGGAGGAACTTCGGGAGGAGGAATCTGAATTGGAAGAGAAGGTTCAGTTGGAGTCGAGGGATGGGAAAGGTTCCAGAAAAAAAGGCCGCTGGGAGGTCGATGGCATGTGCTGCCTCGTTCTGGACGAGGTGCCAATCGAGAACGTGCAGATGCTCCAGATGCTCTGTAAACAGGCTGGCAACCTCACGTCTCTTCTTCATCATCTTGATACAGTTTTTTGTCCTTCTCCTCCTCGTCGTCCCCCTGTCCTCCTCCTCCTCCTCCACCTCCTCCTCCTCCTCCTCCTCCTCCCCCTCCTCCTCCCTCCTCCTCCTCCTCCTCCTCGTCCTCCTCCTCCTCTCCCCTCATCCCTTCTTCCTCTTGACCCGTTTTTTCCTGGTCCTCCTCCTCTTCCGTCTCCTCCTTCCTTATCCTGCTTTTTGGTCTCGTCCTCTTCCTCCTTCCCTGCCTCATCTCTCCGCCTTTTTCCTTTTTCTCGTCCTTTCCCTGATCCTCCTTTTCGTTCTCCCTCCTCCTTCCTCCTCGTACTGCTCTCTTCCTCGTCCCTATTATCCTCCATCTTCCTGCTCCGCATGTTCCTCTCCCTCCCCATCCCCCCCCCTGTCCTGAAGGCGGCGGCGGCGATGATGCGCCGCGAGCGACGAGCATCGATCGACGAGCGACGAACGGCGGCGACGCCGACGACGAGGATAGACGACGAGCGACGCACGGCTGCGACGCTGACGGCGACGGTCGACGACGGCGAACGGCGGCGACGCTCGACGAGCGGCGGCGGCGACGAACGGCGGATGCCGGCGGGGCCCGACAGTCTGCCGACCTGGACGCCCTCAAGCGCGCCCTGCTGCGGGGCGAGCTCCCCGCCGAGGCCCTTGACGCCTCGCCGCGGACGTAGCGGCGAGCCACGGCCAGCATCAGCGCCCGCTGGCTTTTTATTAATTTTTCTCTGGCGTCCCCGTCTGTCACGTCGGCGGCCGCTGGCTTTCTAACTCGCCGTTGCCCCCGCACCCACCGTTCCAGGCACACGAGCAGGTGCCACAGCAAGCCAGAGGGTGAGCACCGCGCGTGAAGCCATAGCATAGCCAAGCATCCCATGCACAGTCGAATCACTTGAGCGCCATGCGAGCACAGCTACCAGCAACAAGCACCAGTCGATGGTCATGCCGACTATGGTGGCAGCTGATGGGGATGTTCGATGATTACGATGCTTACGATGATGATGTTGATGCCGCTGATGATGATGACTTGTTGTTGACGATGGTGCTGATGCTGCTGATGATGATGATGATGCTGCTGATGATGAAGATCGTTGTTGACGACGATGATGGTGATGACGACGACGACGACGACGACGACGATGATGATGATGATGATGATGATGATGATGATGATGATGATGATGATGATGATGATGATGATGATGATGGTGATGATGATGATGATGATGATGATGATGATCATCATCATGATGATGATGCTGATGATGCTGATGCTGATTATGCCGGTGATGATGATGCTGCTGCTGATGCTGATGCTGATGCTGATGCTGATGCTGCTGCTGCTGCTGATGATGATGATGATGATGATGATGATGATGATGATGATGATGATGATGATGATGCGGATGGATGATGATGGGGAAGCGGGACCTAGCAGGCACAATACCCATTTGTGATCGACTGACCAGTCGTGCTGGCCCGATGCTGACCTGATCCAGGCCTGAGGCAGCGACTCCTGCACGGTGCGAAACACGTGCGAAACGTCGGGGAATGTGTACAACAGAGGTCGCGCTGCAGGTGGCTTGCCTCGCACGAGTAGAGTTGCTCGAACTTCTGGACTCGCTCGAACCGAAAGTCAAGCCCGACTCTGATGGAATCCAGAACTTCTGCGAACACATCTGAGCTTGAGAAACCTGTGCCGACCCGAATCACCTGATGGATATCCTCAATCGGGAAGGCGACCGAGCCTTTGATGGACTACAAGCTACACGCAGTTGCCGTCCTGCGTCCGCCCCACGCGCCCTCAGAGCACCAGGGGGCGGGCGACCTAAAAGGGAACGGGGGGTGGGGCTCGCCAACAGTGACATGGGAGGCTGCCCCGGGTGCCCCACCGAGGCGCCGATGGGCCCCATACCGCAAGCTCGTCACAGGACGCTGCAACGGGTCACATGGGACCCCTGCGCTGGCACCAAGAGTCCAGATGTGCCGAGGGCCCCGACAGCGACCCCACAAATCCCATGCCCCTTGGGCCGGATGCGCACGCCTTGGCGGACTTCCGCCCCCGCCCCGCCGCCCAAGGAGGGCCGCAGGCGGGACCACGTCGGGCGCGCGCAGGGGCCCCGAGGGGGCCGTTAGGGAAAGTGAGGTCAGCCGCGCGCAGAGGGGGGCAGGGAGAGGGGGGAAGGCTTCTCAGGGGGAGGGGGGAAGGCTTCCTCTCTCTCTCTCTCACACCATATGTATGCATGTATGTATGTATGTACGATGTACGTATGTATGCATGCATGCATGTCTGTCTGTCTGTCTGTCTGTGTGTCTGTCTGTCTGTCTGTCTGCCTGTCTGCATGCATGCATGCATGCATGCATGTATGTATGTATGTATGCATGAATGAATGAATGAATGTATGCATGTATATGTAGGAATAGTTGTGTAGATGTGCACACAAACGCACACACACATACATACATACATACATACATACATACATACATATATATATATATATATATATATATATATATATGAGGCCAGTGCTTTCTCAGAAGCAGCCTCCTTCTGCGAAGCCTTCCCCCTGCCCCTACCCCCTCTGCGCGCCGCCATGAAGTGAGGGCCCCGGGCGCGCCCGCCCGGGCGCGCCAATGGGGGGGTCTTCGCGGGCGGCAGGCAGGGGCGCGGCGGCCGGGCGGGGGCGCGGCGGCCGGAAGCGGCGGGGCGGAGGAGGAGGGATGGAGGGAGGGAGGGAGGGGAGGGGAGGGGAGGGGAGGGGAGGGAAAGAGGGGGGGGAGGGAGGGAGGGAGGGAAGGAGGGGAGGGGAGGGGAGGGGAGGAGGGAGGCAGGGAGGGAGGGAGGTGGGAGGGGAGGGGAGGGAGGGGAGGGGAGGGAGGGAGGGAGGCAGGGAGGGAGGGAGGTGGGAGGAGGAGGAGGAGGAGGAGGAGGAGGAGGAGGAGGAGGAGGAGGAGGAGGAGGAGGAGGAGGAGGAGGAGGAGGAGGAGGAGGAGGAGGAGGAGGAGGAGGAGGAGGAGGAGGGGAGGGGGAGGGGGAGAGGGGAGGGGGAGGAGGGGGCGAGGCGGGGCGGGCGGGGCGCGGCGGCCGGAGGTGGGCGGGGCAGGGGCGGGCGGGCAGGAGGAGCCCGGAGAGCCGCGCGGGGTAGGCTGGGCCGGCCCGGGGAGCGGCCGCGCCCGGGGCCGCGGGCCCCCCGCGGGGAGGCCTCGCCTCTCCTCGCAGAGGGGAGCCGCGGGGACCTCGGGGCGCGCCACCTCTCGCCTGCCTCCTCGGCGCCCGCGGCGTGCGAGGCCGCGGCCGAGCAGCGCGGCGAGTCGCGCGGCGCCCCGCCCCTGGGAGGCACGCTGGCGTTACGTCGGGCGTGTCCCCCTACAGGGGGACTTTCGACGGGGGGAAAAAATACTCCAAAAATGCTTCCAAAAAGGCTGAACAAAAAACAAAAAAATAATCCCCAGACTATTTTTGGAGTATTTTCTGACTATTTTCGGGGTACTTTTTGTTTTTCGTCGAAAATCCCCCTGTAGGGGGACATGCCCGACTTAAGGTTAAGTCGGGCCTGTCCTTCCACAGGAGGAGTATTCAAAGATAGTCCAAGCATAGTCTGGGTACCCCTTTCTGGGTATTTTTCGACCATTTTGGAGTATGTGTCGAGTATGTTTGATTTTTCGTCGAAAATCCCCCTGTAGGGAGACACGCCCGACTTAACGATAGGGCATCTGCTCTATGAGGACATCCTCGGATCCTCTCGGCGCCTCCTGGTGAGGCGCATGGCGAGGGCATGACGCTCCAGCCTGCCAAAGTCACGGGCGTCACCGTTGTTGGGAGGGTGGTTCTGTGGTCATCTGTTGGTGGGCCATTGCTTGGGAACGGCCCACCCGTTATCGAAAAGGGACGGGCTCGCGTGACCAACCACTGGCACAAATGATCACAATAAAGCGTCAACGCTTGAAACATCCTCCATTTCTCTTTCTTGGTCAGGTGACCGAGTAATATTCCTTGTGTCGCCCATCCGTCATCGATCACGGACGGTGGGTAACCAACAAAAATACCAGTCACAAGGTCCTTACGAATTCGAGCGGTCGAAAATTGACCGAGAAAACGTGACATCCTAGGGACGGCACCGAGGTAACGCGATTATGGTTGGTGGAGGTGCGCTGGAGAAAGGGCGTGGGGCAACCGAGCTCCTGCTGCATGGGCCTGGGTGTGTGTGTGGTATATCAGTCGGGTGTCAGGGCGTCGTAGCGCCCGCTAAATTAATTCTCCCGGAGGCGACCACCGCGCCCCCCGCCAAGCCGCCGAGAGCCCGCGCCGCGGAGGAGTCGGAGCAGATTGCGCGCCCGCTTTTGTTCGGGGGGGGGGGAGGGGGGCGAGGGGTGCGCAGCCAGCGCCGGCGCGGGTGCCTGGGAGGTGGGCACAAGAGGCTCTTGGCTTGCCTGGCCGGGACCATCGCCGCTAGCGAGGTCTCCCACGTCCACGTCCACGTCGCCCTCCGCCGCCGCGACCCCCCGCTTCGCGCCGCCTCGCATGCCGCCTCAACGACCGCCACCTGCGCGGGGATCCGCACCGCCGACATCCCCAGGCCCCTGCGCAGGGAGGCCGGCATCAACCTCGGCGGCTGTCGCGGGCGGCGCATCGGACCGCTCCTCGGCAGCGAGTGGCGGCGCTGCAGAGACAGTCGTCGCCCGTCGTCGTCGGCGTCGTCGAGCCCGTCGTCGTCGTCGTTGCTTTGGGCGCTTTCGCGCCCTCTGGTCGTCGCCGGCGGCCGCTCGCACCGCCGGCCCCGCCGCCTCGTCCATGGGCGCTGGGGGCCCCGACGTGCTCGGCCCTCCGACCGGCCCCCCCCCTAAACTCTTCGCGGCGCCATGTGACCCGTCAGTGTGTTTTGCCTTCTGACGGTTTCGTGCTTGTTCGGCCGCTGTTCCTTGATGCGGGCTTATGTTTTTGGTTGAAGCACACTCTTGGCATTCTCTGGTCGGAAGCGCTTCGTGAGGCGACGACGCCACCCAGCATCTTCTCCTCGTAGACATGTGTTGGCATGAGCGGGAAGCGCATGAGCCCCGGAGAACGGTTGAAAAGCTCCAGGACCCTCTTCGGTCGGAGGTCGGAATGTCTCTTGCGCAGGCCTGCAGTCGTACGCGGTTAAACTGGATCAGTTGACGGCTGAATCGACCTGACCAAAGCGGGGGCAATGAAGCAATGCGTTCCATGGCAAGCAGTGCACAACATGATTGAGCTTAACATTGCAGAGCTTAGCATATCACGTCATAGCACAGCATAGCGCAGCATAGCATACAATGACACACAATGGTATTGCATTGCATTCTGTATAATGGCGCGGCAGTTCATAGCATAGCATATCGAATCCCGGAACTACATGGCATCATGAACGCATGAAAGGTTCAGAATGGTGCAGCCCAGCATGCCGGGGAGCGTTGTTGCGCTGCACCTGTCTTGGTCCAAAGCTGGGCGGCTGATCGCTGGTTGACCAGTCAGTGAGCGTTCAGGAGGAAGAGGAGGGACGAGCAGTAGGGAAGAGCAACATGTGAATGGGGAGCACCTGTTTCATGACCGCCTTTTTGTTCTCCATGCGGACAGGACAGGGGCGACTAGGAGCTGAGCGCGCGCGCGAAGCGCGCGTTTCTCTAGTGGGTCTGTTACGAATCACGACGCAAGGTGCCTTGACGTTTTCTAGAGCCCAGATCGCCAGGCAGGCTGCGTTTTGATGAACGCCTGGATTTCCAGAGCCAACCTCGTAGAGCAAGCAGAGGTTTGAAGGTCGTGGGGTGGGTGGGTGGGGGTGATTGAGCATCCAAACTACTTGTCATAGTCTGTCGAGCAACAGCTCTCTTGGGGTGGAGAACCCAAGCAACTGAACTACACTGCTTTCAGAAGTTCTGGATTTGTCTCGCCCAATCAGATGACAAACAAAACAATGTGCTCTTAAATCATTTGAACCGGTTACCAGCAGCGCCTGCGTCGCGGGGCTGCCGTAGGGCATGAGCAAGCTACCCCCCCCAGGGGTTGACGGTGCGTGTACGTATGGGGGAAAGGCGCCAAGGGAGGAAAAGCCACCCATACCCGACAATTGACGTTTATTGAACGGCCTTGGGCGTTTACGAAACAGCCCTGCGCTGCTCCATTCCTTCTTCGGGCGCGTTTACTGAACGACTTCGCGTGTCGGGGTGGTTCTGATAGGGGGTGGATAGTTTGACCTCTACGGTGTTGGGGGGTGCCGTGTGTGGGGGGGGGGGCGGAGGAGGGAGGGAGGGGAGGGAGGGCGAGAGGGAGGGAAGGGAGGGGAGGGGAGGGGGGGGAGGGGAGGGGAGTGGAGGGGAGAGAACGATTCTCGGAAAGTTGGACACCCCAAGGTGGCCTCGCGACGCCTCGGGGCCCGCTGGGGCCCGCAGGGCCAGGGTCGGGGCCGAGGGCCTTGTTCTAGGAGGGAGAGGAGGAGGAGGAGGAGGAGGAGGAGGAGGAGGAGGAGGAGGAGGAGGAGGAGGAGGAGGAGGAGGGAGGAGAGGAGGAGGAGGAGGAGGAGGAGGAGGAGGAGGAGGAGGAGGAGGAGGAGGAGGAGGAGGAGGAAGGAGGAAGGAGAGGAGGAGGAGGAGGAGGAGGAGGAGAGGGAGGAGGAGGAGAGGAGGAGGAGGAGGAGGAGGAGGAGGAGGAGGAAGGAGGAGGAGGAGGAGGAGGAGGAGGAGGAGGAGGAGGAGGAGGAGGAGGAGGAGGAGGAGGAGGAGGAGGAGGAGGAGGAGGAGGAGGAGGAGGAGGAGGAGGAGGAGGAGGAGGAGGGAGGAGGAGGAGGAGGAGGAGGAGGAGGAGGAGGAGGAGGAGGAGGAGGAGGAGGAGGAGGAGGAGGCGAAAAAGAGGAGAGAAGAAGAAGAAGAAGAAGAAGAAGAAGACGAAGAAGAAGAAGAAGAAGAAGAATAATAAGAAGAAGAAGAATAATAAGAATAAGAAGAAGACTAAGAAGAAGAAGAAGAAGAATAATAACAATAAGAAGAAGAATAAGAATAAGAAGAAGAAGAAAAAGAAAAATAATAAGAAAAAGAAGAAGAAGAATAAGAAGAATAATAATAAGAATAAGAAGAAGAAGAAGACGAAGAAGAAGAAGAAGAAGAAGAAGAAGAATAAGAAAAAAAATAAGAAGAAGAAGAAGAAGAAGAAGAAGAAGAAGAAGAAGAAGAAGAAGAAGAATAAGAATAATAATAAGAAGAATAAGAAGAATAATAATAATAAGAAGAAGAAGCAGAAGAAGAAGAAAAGAAGAAAGAAAAAAAAGAAAAAAATAAGGAAAGTGGAAGAATTTGGTGGGGAGTGGTGTGGGGGGTCGGAGGATTGCGCTGTATCGCCGATGCGTCCCCGACGCATCGCCGATGCATGGGTCGTGGGTGCTGCATCCGCGACGTCGGCGATGTGTCGGCGACACCGTCGTGGAGAAGATCGGGCCCCACATCGAGCCGCATCGCCGATGCATCGGCGATGCCTCCTCCTCCTCCTCCTCCTCCTCCCCCTCCTCCCCCTCCCGTCCAGAGGCCTCCAAATTAGGGTTCGAGTAGATGGGGTCGGAGGATTGCGCTGTATCGCCGATGCGTCCCCGACGCATCGCCGATGCATGGGTCGTGGGTGCTGCATCCGCGACGTCGGCGATGTGTCGGCGACACCGTCGTGGAGAAGATCGGGCCCCACATCGAGCCGCATCGCCGATGCATCGGCGATGCTGCGTGATCCTCCAGCCCCGTCTACAAACAAGACGCTGAAATAAGGACCACTTGGGCTCAGGAGGGGTTCTGGTTGCCGGGCCGCTCCGTAGATTTAGGTCGGGGGGCCGATTCGTGACAGAGGCTCGCCGTGGCCAGAGAAGCCCCTTCGTTCCTCATTCGCCATTTCTTTATGGTAGCACGATGACGACAGTGCTGCACTCGGGCGCCACGTTCTTCCGACGAAAGCCTCTCATGACATCATGACTCAATCATCGCAGTGAAACAGTATGTGCAAACCAGCGCCAAACATGTACTTCCAATCCCGCCGCCGTGCTGACGCAGCTGCGTTTGCCTTCTGCTGGAGCCTACGCTGGGCAACTTCCATACTGCGACAATCGACGATACCTCCTGACATGACAAATGGTCACCTGATCATGCTAAACAACAGTCTAAGACAAAACGCGAGACATGGCTGGGCGGGTTGTGCAGAGCTTCGCTGGGAAGCCTGGATTGTCTGAAACAGAAGAAACACTAGCCTGGCAAAGGCCCCAACCATATGCAGTTGTCAGCACCGTCGTTGTATGTACTGCATTCGGAAGAGCTCCCATATAGGGCCACGAAACGTGTGAAGGGTGTGCCAAATTTGTCCGGTGGGCACATGCGAAAGCAGCAACTGGGGCCGTCGGTTGAATCTCCTATGGGGCCACGAAACGCGTGAGAGGTGTGCCGAAATAGGTGCGGTGGGCGCATGCGAACGCAGCCACTGAGGCCGTCGGTGGAATTCCCTTTGGGGCCGCGAAACGTGTGAGGGGTGTGCCGAAATTAGTGGGGTGGGCGCATGTGAACGCAGCCACTGGCTCCCTAAGGGGACACGAAGCGTGAGGGGTGCGCCGGAGTGGGTGTGGGTGGCTCACGCGGGAGGTGGAACTGTGGCCTTCGCTGGAGCTCCCCATGGGGCCACGAAGCGTGTGAGGAGTGTGCCGAAATGGGTGTCGGTGACGCATGCGGTAACGTGTGAGAGGTGTGCCGAAATGGGTGTGGGTGACGCATGCGGGGCCTCAATGGAGCTCCCTATGGGGCCACGAAACGTGTGAGAGGTGTGCCGAAATTCGTATAGGTGACGCATGCGGGCGGTGGCATTGCGGCCTTCGGTGGAGCTCCCAATGAGGCAACGAAACATGTGAGGGGTGTGCCGAAACGACTGTGGGTGACGCACGTGGGCGGTGGCACTGCGGCCGTCGGTGGAGCTCCCTATGGGGCCACGAAACGTGTGAGGGGTGCGCCGACGTTAGTATCGGTGACGCATGCGGGCGGTGGCTATGTGGCCTTCGGTGGAGCTCCCTATGAGGCTACGAAGCGTGCGAGGGGTGTGCCGACATGTGTGGGTGACGCATGCGGGCGGTGGCTATGTGGCCTTCGGTGGAGCTCCCCATGGGGCCTCGAAACGTGTGAGGAGTGTGCCGAAATGGTTGTGGGTGACTCATGCGGACGGTGGCATTGGAGCCTTCGGTGGAGCTCCCGATGGGGCCACGGTACGTGTGAGGGGTGTGCCGAAATGGGTGTGGGTGACGCATGTGGGCGGTAGCACTGGGGCCTTCGGTGGAACTCCCAATGGGGCCACGAAACGTGTGAGGGGTGGCCGGAATTGGTATAGGTGACGCCTGCGGGCGGCGGCACTGGGCCTTCGGTGGAGCTCAAGTATATTCGAACCTCACAACGATAAAGCTTATTACGGGCGCGGGCAGCGATGATCACATGGCAGATCACCTGTTGGCCCAGGCGCCAGTCCAAACGGCGATCATACACTTGGCGTAAGCCCGTAAAGCTTCTGCTCCTCTGCAGTTGAGGCCGCCTCCTCCGAGGCCAGCCTGGGCACTCCCGTGCAAAAGCAAGAGAAGTTGAGTAGTGGGCTGCCCCACCCCTGGGTTGCGCCATGGCCGCGCCGTCCATGGATTGCGCCATGCGCTGCGACATAGATTGCGCCATGGGTTCCACCGTCCATGGGCTGCGACATAGAATGTTCCATGGGGGGCGAGGGCGAACACACTCGAGGGGAGGAGTGGGGCGATGAGACAAGAGCGTGCCTCTCAACAATCAGAGCTAGAAACTCAGAGATACGAATACGCAACGTACTAGACCCCCTTCAGCCACTTTCAATTTGCAGTCTAGGTAACCCAATAACCGACTTGGATGAAACCCCCAGTAACGTAGGTATCTAAGTTACTCGAGCTGCTTACAGCTACGGCGCAAGCAGCACAAGTATGGCGCTAACCTCCCGGCGGAGGCGGCCGCGTTTCACGTCCGCCGCCCTCTGCCGCCCTCGCGCGTGGGCGGCGAGCACGCCCCATGTCCTCGGTGGCCGATGCACCGACCTTAGCGCCGCATGTGGACGCTGATGCATGGGGTGAGCGCCTGCGCTTCGTCGCCGCGGGGCGCACGCCAAAGCTGGGCCATCCGGGCACGAGCCTTCGTATACAAAATGCAATACCACACAGGCGCCGCCCACTGCCGCCCTCCGGCCGCCTCCTTGCCGAGCCCCCCCCCCCCCTTGGGCGGCCTTCGGCGCCTCCGCCGGCGCCGCGCCCTCCGTGGCTCCCTCCGCGGCGGGCTCGTCAGCGGCCGCGGCCTCCGCGGCGCGGCCACGGAGGTCGGCGGCGGCGGCCGCCGTCCGGGTTCGGGGAGGGGGGGGGGGGACTTCGGCGGGGTCGTGCATAAGGGAACGAAACATTACACAAACATAAAGACTCGGAGGTCCGCGCGGATTTCTCGGATCCGCGCTGGACTCCCCTGGCGGCGCCTCCGGCGCCGCCCCTGGCGCGCTCCGCGCGCCAGGGAGGGGGGTCCAGCGCCGATCCGACAAATCCGCGTGGACCTCCGAGTTTGTAAGTTTCTAGTGCAGTGGCTACCTGCGCAATGGTTCCCTTGTGAGCGTCTTCTTCTTCAGCGTCTCGACTTTGGGCGGGAAAGGGGGGAAGCTGGGGGGGGTATGGCTCCGAGCCTCTGCTTCATGCGAGCGTTTGCAGCAGTGCTCCACCTGCTCGAAACAGGAGCCAAAAACAGCCAAGATCTACTCCATGGCGGGGGCGGAGGGGGGGTACGAGGGCCCGCGCCGATCAATGAACAATGAATAAGAAAAGATGACCTTCGGTGACGAGAGCCTGAAGCCTACCCCCTTGCAGCGGCGAACAAAATTAGCCTGGCGAAGGACCCAATAATATGCAGTTGTGAACACCGTCGTTGTATGCACCGCATTCGGAGGAGCTCCGTATAGGGCCACGAAACGTGTGAGGGGTGTGCCAAATTTGTCTGGTAGGCGCATGCGAAAGCTGCCACTGAGGCCGTCGGTGGAATTCCTGGCCACGAAGCGCGTGAGAGGTTTGCCGAAATAGGTGCGGTGGGCGCATGCGAACGCAGCCACTGAGGCCGTCGGTGGAATTCCCTGTGGGGCCGCGAAACGTGTGAGGGGTGTGCCGAAATGGGTGTGGGTGACGCATGTGAACGCAGCCACTGGCGCCGTCGGTGGAGCTCCCTATGGGGCCACGAAACGCGTGAGGGGCATGCCAGAACGGGCGTGGATGACGCATGCGGGCGGTGGCACTGGGACCGTCGGTGCAACCTCTCTGGGGCCACGAAACGTGTGAGGGGTGTGCCGACATGTGTGTGGGTGACGCATGCGGGCGGTGGCACTGGGGCCTTCGGTGGAGCTCCCTATGAGGCCACCAAACGTGTGAGTGGTGTGCCGACACGGGTGTACGCATGCGGGCGGTGGAACTCTGACCTTCGGTGGAGCTCCTATGGGGTCACGAAACGTGTGAGTGGTGCGAATGGGTGTGGGTGACGCATGCGGGCGGTGGCACTGGGGTATTCGGTGGAGCTCCCTATGGGGCCACGAAACGTCTGAGGAGTGTGCCGACATGTGTGTGGGTGACGCATGCGGGCGGTGGCTATGTGGCCTTCGGTGGAGCTCCCCATGGGGCCTCGAAATGTGCGAGGGGTGTGCCGAAATGGGTGTGGGAGACGCACGTGGGCGGTGGCACTGGGGTATTCGGTGGAACTCCCTATAGGGCCACAAAACGTGTGAGGGGTATGCCGACATGGGTGTGGGTGACGAATGCGGGTGGTGGCACTGGGGCCTTCGGTGGAGCTCCCCATGGGGCCACGAAACGTTTGAGGGGTGTGCCGACATGGGTGTGGGTGACGCATGCGGGCGGTAGCACTGGGGCCTTCGGTGGAGCTCCGTATGGCGCCACGAAGCGTGTAAGGGGTATGCCGAAATGGGTGTGGGTGACGAATGCGGGCGGTGGGGCTGGGACCTTCGGTGGAACTCCCTATGGGGCCACGAAACGTGTTTGGGGTGTGCCGAATGGGTGTGGGTGACGCATGCGGGCGGTGGCACTGGGGCATTCGGTGGAACTTCCGATGGGGCCACGAAACGTCTGAGTGGTGTGCCGACATGGGTGGGGTGTGACGCATGCGCGGTGGCACTGGGGCCTTCGGTGAAGCTCCCCATGGGGCCACGAAACGTTTGAGGGGTGTGCCGACATGGGTGTGGGTGACGCATGCGGGCGGTAGCACTGGGGCCTTCGGTGGAGCTCCCCATAGGGCCACGAAACGCTGCAGTGTGGGTGAAACGCAAGGAGGAGGGAGGATAGAGGAGGAGGGAGGAGGGGAATGAGTAG